GTACCTATTTATACGATCGAATTGCGTTTTCTTCATCTTCCAACGATTTTGATGTATGATAGCTTAAAATTTTCGTAATTTTGTGTACATTAAGAATCCGTAATAAAATTGGGGTGGCCCACCAACAGTTTTCGAGATAAATTGGAAAATGTGCGAATTTGGCCACTGCCTCGATTACGGACTCCCATTTTCTGAGAGTTTTGAAAAATAATTGCATTTTCCGTATTAATTTTTCCACGATCGAAACATGGAATTTAGGTATTGCTATTAACGTATTATTAAATCCGGTACGTTATATTCACGTTAGGTATAAGCATAGTTCGCTACCTTTCTGTGTACCTAGTAAATAAACGTTGTTAAATTGAATCCGTTATTTAGTAAACTATGTATGTGCGCATACTGTCGATAACATTAAGTATTATCAACCGCCGTATTAATACATATAATACACATGTACATATCTAACGACATTCATACTCACCCCGTGCTAAATATAAGACATACATTTGCTAGTAGCAAAGTTTTACTATGCCGGTAGCTGATTTTTATCGATTTACACCACAAAACGTTTACCCTGGCAGCTAGATTTATTTAATCAAAGTATCTATATACTTACATAATATTAATTCGCATAAAATAGTTATTTTTCGTGATAAATCTGCATGCATAACGTCAAACTAGGATGCATCCACGGATTGAAATTGTACAATGACGACCAAGTAAGTCACAATTCCTGTAATTATCTTGAACATGATAAAAATTACATGTTTAGTAACTACACACTTTGGTGAGGTGGCCAGCGTTGGTGAGGTGGTTGCTTTGGATCTATGATCGGGTCCAAAGTTAAGCACTTATGACCCAACCGAAGAGCAGGGATGGGGGCCCACCAGCCGGAACCCAATACCTGCTCTGGGAGAAAACTGGCTGCCCTACCAGTGGTTCAGTGGTGGTGAGACCACTGGATAAGATCTGTAGAGTGGACTGAGCACGCATACCTTTCAATGGTTGTCTTCGCATCCAAAGGGGCGTACATCAAGAGGTGCAAATAGTATGGTCAGGTGTGGATGGTGTGTCTACTTGGGTTCTCCGTTTCATGGGGTAGACTCTCGCTCTACATGCCCGGGTGAGAGTAATGCGAACATGGAGCGGATGGCGTGAGGATAGGGGGTCCAGTGCCTCGTGCGTCAGCCACCACCTGTTAAATATCTGCCATCCTCACTGCTCATTAATAGCAGTGAGGAGACAAGCAGGATAGCCATACTAGCACTTGTAACATGGGAGCAATTATCCTTAAATGTGATACCGCTACGGGTTGGCTTTCGGGCAGCCCACCCTGAAATTACATACATACATACAACTACACACTTTCATTGATACATATGTATGTACTTTACATACACATGTAAAACTTACAGTTATGACAAGCCTCACATTTAATTCCAAAACGGAATTTCCTACATGAATTGGATCCAGTGAAATAAATTTGCTATCCTGCAAAAAAGTCATTGGGTGTTTCAAGTTTAGCCCAATGTTAAGTTTATGAAATTTAGTTATCGCTATTTGCATATTATTCAATCAGACACGTTACGTACACGTTAAGTGCATATAGGCAGAATTTGCTAAATTGGTCTGCATCTACTAAATAAACTTTGTTAAAACGAATCCCTTAAGGCTCTCTACCAGTAATTCACCAAGGTATTTAGGGACCCTTAGTACCCAAATTTCTTGGGACTGTAGCGTGATAGCAAGTTTCGGAAAAAAGTTGTTGGTGGTATATTTATCAACATATTTTTTAATGAAAATATGATGCCACCCAGTACCACCAATTTCGGAAAATAATAAAACCGTCATAAACGTTTTAAAAAATTTTCAAAAGACATTCACAGTCTTTGGAGCATTTCCACTTTCATAAAACTTGTGTATAATGGTGGAGTATAACGAGGCGCAGGTGGTATAATAGGCTATTAGCTCAGAAAAATTATAGTGGACAGTTTTTTGCTCAGAAAACCAATCATCGACCCAATTGCGATTTATTCTTTCATAAATATCAAAGTTTTGGGAATCCTTTGAAGTCCCTCGCTGATTAATCCACCTCAGCCATAATATTAGCTATACTTTATGGCTCAAAATTTAGTGTAAATCACGCTAATATCGATAGGAGCGTCTTTGGAAAAGTTGCATCTGGTTAGTTGTCAAGCAGTATATTTTTCATTACCGGCGGCGAAGATAATGAAATTATATTGCACTTTTTTCCAAGCAATTAAGTAACTAAGATCAAAAATATATTTGCATGTCAATGTAAGTACAGAGCCTTAAGCATACTATTTGATTTGAAATTTTGTAAACAAAAGAAAGTTTGTTAATCATTCAAAAAGTCGTTAATAATTCGAAAGGTTGTTAGTAACGCGTCCACTTGTTTAATGATGACGAAGATGAGGAATGTTATGTTAGACTATTAAATATTCACGTATTATTAAGAATATCATTTAGTTTGGCTTTGCCAGACTGTGAATTAAGCAATATTGAGGGATTTACCGCTTGATAACAGTTTATACCACTTTTTACCATTTTACCACTGTGATGGTAAAAATCAACAAAAGTGGTAAAATTTAAAACACTGAGTTTAAGGATTCTGTTTAACTTGGCTAATTTAGTTTATGTACGATCACTAATTATGATCTATATACCTGAATAATCCGCACATGAGCGACAATATTACGCATTTTCGACACCATTTTGAGAGAATGTTAACAATCTCTAGAGTGGAATGGGGCCTATTCTACATTTTGTAAACTTAACACAAATTGCAGTCAAATAAAACATAAACTTATTAGTTTTAAGGTGGCAAGATTGCAAACTTTGCAATTATTAATCAGCAATTTTCTGACCGGACATACTTTCACTCTTCCTGTGGTGAAGGTGTCTTTGAAGAAATCAATTGCTGTGCCAGAAATTCAGTCTGTATCTGTGTTAGATGTATTATTCAGATTCTAACACGATCACCGACTGAACCTTCTGACATAGCACGGGCAACATTATTAAACGTTAACGAGAAGTTCTAGGAAAATACGGATTTCCATAAATATTACTGACCCAACTGGTGAGAATTTTTGTGCCATGATTTGTTATAGTATTTGGTGAGACTTATAGTACATGTATTTATTTACAAAAATTCTAAGCATCTACTATTGCACCTATGGTTCAAAAATATATCACCGCGGTTTCTTTTTGATAATGTAAGTTGTACATTAATCCATGCATTATAATCGCATTTTGATAATGATGTGCTATCTGGTAGTGTCGATTGAACTATTAGTATGGCACGGTTTAAAAAACATAAAAATTAACGATAAGTGACAACTAATTCCGCAACTTTGTGTTCAAAATGCATAGTACAGTTGTTGAGGATATATGCAGATAAGCAGATTTGAACACCTGGCGACCAAAGCCGTTACCAATGGAGGTTATTTTTCACGGTTATTTTTTTTTAATATTCCAAAATTGCTATTCCAACATAGTACTTTTTTAACATTTTGCTCCCTTATCACCCCTTCATATTTCTACGATTAAATATGCAACATTGTATAAATCAGTGTGTGCAAAAAGGTAGCCTTTTTGCTATTTTTTGGTTGACTGTATCTTCTTTCGACACATTTTGCGGTGTACAGAAGATTCGGAGGGCATTTAAAGGAGGATAACTGGACATCACGAGAACTGCGTATAAAAATATTGGGTGTGGTGGGACGTGGAAGCTCGCAAGGTTTCGGCCCCACATTTTTGGTCTCACTCAACGGATAATCCTGTGCCTGGGTCCAGTCCTAGGAACCTTCCAATCTTCTCGCCGGCTACCGTTGGGCGCAGCAACGGCTGTATTTGAGACGTGAACTCAAATATTTGAGACGTTATTTAGTTAAGGGGTCACAGACAGGCAAGTGGCGGCAACTCCGATTGGAAAAATTTATTGGAATTTTTAATTAACGTTGCACTCGACGTTATTGCTTTGTGTTCGAGGTTATGTCTGGCACAAAGGACATCTGGAAGGCAGAACATTTGTGGTAGAAATTCAGCCAGAGGAACAGTTTTCTAGCAGAGTATGCAGCCTTATTATCAAATCAAGTTATCGACAGGGCCAGAAGACTTATCCTCCCGTGCGAATAATTAACTTTCATAGCAAAGTTCAAGATTTAGGAAGTGTATGTCAAAATTCAATTTTTTTCATGTAACTCATTTTTGTAAGATGCCACGTGAAAAGTATTTACGAGGTGTTGTTTCATTTATATTTTTAAATAAAATTCCACTAAGTACGTTTTTTAGAGGAAAACACGAGAAATCCATTTTTTATCAATGGTTGGTATAGGAAAAATTCCAAATATGCGAAGAAAAATATTGAACAAAATCTACTTTTTACGGTTGGGTTACGAGTTTTCCACATCGAGTTTTCCACAAGTTATCAAAGGAATGATCTTATTTTTGAGAAATTTTGTTGTCAAGGTAGTTTATGCGGTACACATATTTGTGTATTTTGTTGTCAACGGTACACAAATGTACATACTTCGTCGTTAAGAGGCATATTATAAACAAGCATTAAAATGCATACATAAAATGCATTTAAATGCATTTAATATTGAGCGTATGAGTAAGTATGTGTGTAAGAACATAGGTGTATTTGGCAAGTTTTTAAAACAAAATTGTTTTAGAGATGAAAAACTTCGTAAACCAAAAGCAGCAACCATTTTATAGATCAATGAAACGGGATTCATGGAATTGTACGTAAAGTCAATCAGTCTCGCATTTAAGAATTTCTAGATTCATGCCGTGAAGTTTGGTTGGGACTGGATTTCGGCAACTTTTGTCCTCTTGTGCAGCCACGTTATTTAACATTGCTGGAATACAACTGCCCGATCCATGCATTTGTATACTGCATCGCTCTTCACAACTGGCAGGATATGAGCCCCGTACATAATTCTCTCTTTGTGTGGAAGTGGTGTGTTGCTTCACGCTGCACAGCTTTATCTCACCGGGCTCCAGCTGATTGTTAATATAACGTTTATAAAACCGGCCCGTCAACCACATAGACATTTGTATTTAGCAGTAATTACTATTCTGAAACTGCGCCGTTTTATAATAATTACATAAGTGCAAATAAGAAATTAGTACAAAACATAATCATGATTGGGATCGACATTGGGAATCAGTCTTCCTTCGTCGCCGTCGTGAAGGATTGTGGTGTCGAAACGGTGGATAATGACTACAGTTTGAGAGCAACTTCGTAAGTTCACAATAATTTGTATTCGTAGGAAATAGTGTGCGAAAATAAAATATTCAGGATCCGCATTATTTGGCGCTTCCACATTTTGAAGTAACTTCAAATGAATAATAAATGGGTGGTATGCATGTAAAATAATTATATACTAAATACTTAGTATTACTATTAAAATAACGGCAAAATTCCGGTATAGTTTTTCTTGACCGCTTGGAATTTGACATCAATGTCTACATCGCTCTCTGGGGATTATACCATTTATCGAAAACTTGGAACACTCAAATTTTTAAAATGTCACTCATGATATTAGCTTAAACCTCGTTACAACTTATAACTAATTCTTATTCGCAGATCAGTGGTCGCCTTCTCCTCGAGGAATCGCATTCTCGGCGTCGCCGCTGCAAATCAGCAAACGTCCAATTTGACGAATACAATTTCCTCCTTTAAACCCCTCCTTGGCTTGCGGTGGGAAGATTTCTTCGTGCTAGACGAGGTTCAGCGGGTGCCTTATAAACTGGTCCCTCATCCGAGTGGGGGTGTGGCGGTGCAAGTCTGCTACTTCGGTGAGGAGCGGGTCTACTCCATGGAACATATCACGGCCATGCTCCTCACCGGATTGAAAGTAACGACCGAGACGGTGCTAAAGAGTGTGATAAAAAATTGCGTGATGGCGGTGAGTATCAGATTCATAAATTATATTCAAGCTTCGAAATTGTATTATAAATTTCGTAATTTTGTATGAAAATCGTAATACTAAATTATTGCGGCCATTCATTATCCTTGTCGAAGTAAATAAGATAGGTCACGACGGTTACTAGCCTATTCTACATATTTTGTTCGTGATATATTTTACAGTACTAACAATCGATCCCGTGGCAATTGAATTAAATTGTTCAGTAAAAATGGCAAATGATATCGTGTCGAAATCACCAAATTTGATTTTTAAAATTGCAAATTGACTTTAGGGAGGAAGGATCACAGTTGCATAGTTTTTTTGTCATTATACCCAACCACCTCCCCTTCAAAAATTAGGGTAGAAAATTGGGTAAAATTAGAAAATAAATATGCACTTGACGCATACAAAATTAGACCCCAAGCTGCATTTGACATTTAAATTACCCCATGAATACGAAAATTTTTACATATCAGAAGTTTCAAAATGCAAATGCCATTTTGAAAAATGTCAAAAAAAACATGGCGACAAATGTCATTTGTCCCCATTTTCAAAATGCAAATGCCAGCGTGTTCTCCGCTATCCTTGAGTTTCGCTTAGCCGACGTGGAAATTTCTTGATTGCTTCTTACTGATGTATTATTTCAGTATTACTTAATGTTGACGTAATTAAGACACTTGGATTGTATATAGTATAGGAAGGAGGCTATGATGAAAGCCCACACATCCTTACTTCGCAGGAACCAGCGGATGATTTGCTACTTGGTTTTCGTTCTGTATTGTTTGCCTTTCTGCCAGAAAGTTTCTGGTATATGCATATTCCTTTGGCAAAGTGACTTGGATAATCCGAATATTTTACAGGAAAGGTGTTTGTTATATTGATGTCTTCTTCCAAGGAAAAGTATATAATTAATTTCGCGAAGTACTTTCTATTGAATTTATGATCTTCTATCAACCTAACGAAAACCATTCAATCCAACTTCGGATTCCTCGGGCATAGGTCTCGTACAGCCAAGAGCAAAAGGATGGGACATATGGAAGAGACTTTTGGGACAATGTTATTCAAATGGGGAATTAAATGCCCTATCCTTTTGCACCGCGTATCTATCCGAATAATTTTTTTAGCGCTTTAATATAATTTTTATTAAATAAAGCGTGCAAAAGTAGGGGGTGACGTGGTAAATTCTTCTTATTGCCGATTCTTTTTCAAGGAGCTACAAGGAATTGACATAATTAATTTTGGAAGAGACTTTTGGGACAACCATAAGCACAATGTTGTCCCAAAAATCTGTTCCAAAATTAATTATTTCAATTCTTTGTAGCTCCTTGAAAAAAATTCTGCGATAAAATCAATTTACCACGTCACCACCTACTTTTGCATGCTTTATTCAATAAAAATTATATCAAAGCGCTAAAAAAATTATTCTGAGAAATACGCGGTGCAAAAGGAGAGGACATTTGATGCCCCATTTCACTATGGGCCAGATTTAATAAATTCGATTGAAACACTTAATTTCTAAAAATAACGGAAAAATTATTAAAGACTATTAAGTCTATCACTCATAATTTTCCTTTAACTTTTTGCACAATTGCAACCCTAAGTCATGTATTTTTTAATTATCACAAATTTGCTCAATTCGAACTATTTAATTTTTTGTTGATGTTAAAAATTCCTTAGAATTAATTAATTTTTCGATTCAAACCTACTTAATTCGCGAGACCATATTTAAGTTCATGAGAAATTGTGATGAACGATTTTTTATGATATTTTTAATTTGTGGTGGATTTTATGTAAATGATTGCATTGGGAGAGAAAATGTTAATTTTTGTAGTAACTTAATAATGACGTATTTTTTTTTACAGTTATTTGGCATTTTACATACACACATTCTATGCATGTAACAAGTTATTATGTAACAAGTTATTATTAAGGTAATTTAAGATTTTGTAAATTTTGAGGCAGATTGATACATTTTTTAGTTGCAATCGCACTTCCTGCACAATGTTCATAAATGCATGCATTTCATATGTGAACAAAGTTTTGCTTCAGGTACCTATTTTGCATAGGCTGATTTGTGTTGGGTGAGAGCGAGAGTTAAGCAACTGCATTCACTTTAATTGTAAACGCATAGAATTAAACAATATACTATATAATCTAACTAGAACGAGGATTTTAATGGGCTCGGGTAGTCGCTATGATGGACTTGTTGAGAAACATACTACTAACGCAGTTGAGGGAACTAGATGGCAGATACGTGGGTGGTGGTGCAGAGAGATGAGAGATGAGGCAAAAATAAAGACATATGGGGCTGTTCAATCATAATGCGCATGTAATTGGACAAGTTCGGCCTGAATATTTGTTTATTTTGTGAGGCAAAATTATTCGAAGAAACCTAGCTTGATCCCATACATGCGGTAAAACTCTTGCACATAAAACGTAGATCTCCAGCCCGCAGAGGCCGGGGAATGGTTCCCCTGGCATATTCCGTCAGAATGACCGTGTATTGGGGGGAAATGAAGGATCTGGGGGAACATTTGACAGAGCAAAATTTTTTTCATCCGGGTGCAACACCTGTAAAATAAATTCAAAAATAAAGCAATGCATAAAATTGTAGCACAAGTTCCCTACAATCTTATCGAAAAAATGCGCCGGAAGCGACAAATACAACTCATAAGCAGCTCGTTGTTTTTCAGGGGTTATCATCTTCCCAAAAACAAACATGCAAAAACAAAAACAAAAACATATTTAACATCATTTTAGCAATATTTCACAAAAAATTTACTCCATCTTAATTTGCTGTCAAAACTGGTAAATATTAACAAATGTACGTATGGGTCAATAACGTATGGGTCAGAATATGGGTCAATGTACAAAAATCAGTAAAGTTAAAATTCCTTGTATGAAGGTAAGAGATGGCGTATACATAGTTTTTAACATTATTTTTATGAGCCCCGGACTACATCAAACAATAATGCTCCCAGCACTTGGCTAACGAGTAATTATTAATTACTATGAATTATTGAACATATATTCTACTTAAGGTAAAAATCGTTGAAATATCTTAAGTAAATAAATTAACCAATGTTATTATGCTTTAAAGAATGTAACTAACAATAACAAAATCAGTCAACTTAAAATTAAGTACAAGTTTAGCTCATAAATATTTACATATATACGACAAACAGTTTTAAACCCACAAAATCAGTCACCTTTCTATATAATCAGTTTGCTGAACCCAGGCCTACAAGAAATCCCAAACGCAACTCTGTAATCTTTGCCAGCATGATACAATCTAATCCTAATATATGTCTTTACAATTTTCTTAATTATCAGGGTGCCGTGAAACTCCTTTTCCTTCGTGTCGAAAAACAAGTTATGCAATCCAAATGTTGGCAACAAGTTCATGCTAATCGAATCATCTAAAACGCTAGCAATAATTTTCCTGTCAAGATTTGCTGTTGATGGTGGGACATTTTTGCATAATGTTCTGGTAAAACATGTCGGCTTTCTCAATAAGCTTGAATACACTTTGACTAGGGTAAATAAGTCCACCATTGTCCTTAAGCTTAGTAAGCTTCAAAACTGACTAATAGGTCCTCTTGGAGGAAACGAGGCCTGGGAAACAGATCACGCAACACTTTTGTTTCTGCAGACTAGCAACCACAAACCCAGCTATATAGGCTATAGAATTTGAGTAAAATTGGCTGTACTCAATATGCTCGGTCAGTTCGATTGACGCGAAAACAAAATCCTCTTGTATCACTCGTTCCCTTGGTTTCAAAGGGAGAAGCCCTCCAGGTATGCACTCGTACTTGCTTTGTTCTATACAGTTGCCTGAGTTTGATGATTTTAAGAGGTTTTCATGCAACAGGTTCTTCATGATGTTCCAGATTGTTCAATAAATTATGATATTTAAATGATAATATGCTTCTGATGCTTCTGATCTCGTAGGTAGTGCTTCTAGTAAGAGTAATTGGGCTACCTAATAAGTGAAATGTTTTTTTATTGACACATTTCTCTTACATTACTTAAGTTTTTTTTACATACATTACACGTTGGAAAAGCTGACTGCAAAGGAGTCGAACAACATTAATCCCTAACCTTAAAAAATTCGTAAATTTAATCTAAAAAATTAAAATTAAAAAAAAGTCAAATTCCTAATAAGTTATTCCTTGCATAAACATTTGGTCCTGAATCTAATCTTATTATTATAAATTATAATAATAATTTCATAATTATGGTCACTACCCGCTGCTCAGTGGGTACCCGCAACCAGCGGCAACCCTAATGGAGCCAGACGAATACACGTAAGCTTAAACAAATATTTCTTTCATTGCCAAACTTTATTACATATTTAACATATTTAACTGCGATACATAAATGGAAATATTTTAATTTCCGATTTAATGTTGATCTGCAGGATTTCAGGATGTCAAAAACCGATAGAATGAGTTGTATACCGTAAATTCTCTATTTATGGCCGGTCACTAAATATGGCTGGGTCGAAGCTTAACTGTTACAATTTGTGGCCGGTCTCTAAATATAGCCCGGCCTCTAATTATGGCCGGGTCCAAAACTCCCCGATCTGAATTTCGGCCCGGGTCAAAATAGAGAATTTACGCTAAGTAAGGAATTAAAGGGCTCCTATCAATTATGCGAAATTATAAATAGATCACAGGGAGGTACAATAAATAGCTCAAAAGTTAATTTCTAAGGTTCACCGTTATCGAATTCATCTATGCAAATAAACTAACTTGTTCCGTCGTTATTCGTTTCTTCCCGACTGTATAAATTAACCCTTAACGGAGTACTGTAAACTGACGAACATGCCTTGATTTCATCCACCGTGGCTGTTAAAGATTGAATCATTTCCCGACTCCTTTTCCCTGCTCCAGATTTTGCTTTAATCGAAATCACGAGAGATTTCGAACTTAACCGTTTAATCATATTAATTTTCAAATCTCGCTTTCCAAATTTTATCAAAATTCCTGCCGCAAAATCCTGATCAGGCAGGAACGGTAGTGACATTTTGAAACACGACAGCGTCCTCAATTTCGGGATATTCTTTTAACTGGTCCATTTCATCGTCACCTATTCATAATTATAGTTTTTCAAATATGTGAGACTAATGTTTACTTGTTATGAACACATAGCATCACACTAATTCTAAAAAGAGCTAAGTGCATGTGCAAAAGTAAAAAGAGCTAAATGAGTTCAATCTTGCAATTAGCTTGTTTTTTACTTTTTGATGTATTTGCAGCACTTGACTCTTTTTTAAAATTCATCTCAATTGCAATTGGCTCTTTTTAGAATAAATGAATTAAATTGTATTAAATAAGTAGGGATTTACCGAATCCACTGTCCATACTGACTGAAGCACACGCCTGGAAATTGACACTATTGAATTCCAGCGCTGTTGGAATGGTGTGATTGGCTGGATCGGGATTGCGAATACGTTTGGTGATAATTGTTCCCGGCGCTTCTCAATTGTGGTCAGAATCTCTTCAAAAGTCGGTTTTTGATCCACGGACAGTTGAAAATTGCTTGCGATAAATTATTCATAAATGTGTGCGCTTTCGTGGGACAGGTTGGATAAGCTCCATTGCAGATTTGTCTTATAATTTCCTGTTAAAACATAGGATATTGACCTCCATGTGTTAGAAGTAATACTGGCCTCTTGTTTTTCTTACGGTCCGATTTTTTTTGTGAAATTGACAAAAAGGAATCTGCCCTGGTTCCAACATTTCCCAAATTAAGGCAGAAAATGACCACACATCTCCAGATTTTGAGTAAACGCATTTTTCCCCAAGTATATCCAGCAACCTGCCACACTTTCTTTGGGAAGATAACGATACGGTATTCGGATAAGGTCATCGTTCTAGAAGGGTCAGATGGTATTAGCAGTGAGAAATGGTGGTATGCCGATAAGAAATTATTTGTAGTGGAGGGAATAATCTTGGGATTGAGGCAGGTGGCAGCAAAAAATTTATTAGAGGCAGATAAGCAATTGTTAAGCGAAATCTGGAGCAGGGAAAAGGAGTCGGGAAATGATTCAGTCTTTAACAGCCATGGTGGATGAAATTAAGGCATGTTCGTCAGTTTACAGTACTCCGTTAAGGGTTAATTTATACAGTCGGGAAGAAACGAGTAACGACGGAACAAGTTAGTTTATTTGCATAGATGAATTCGATAACGGTGAACATTAGAAATTAATTTTTCAGCTATTTATTGTAACTCCCTGTGATCTGTTTATAATAATTTCACATAATTGATAGGAGCACTTTAATTCCTAGCTTACCGTAAATTCTCTATTTATGGCCCGGGCCGAAATTCAGATCGGGGACCCGGTCATAATTAGAGGCCCGGCTATATTTAGAGACCGGCCAAAAATTGTAACAATTAAGCTTCGACCCAGCCATATTTAGTGACCGGCCATAAATAGAGAATTTACGGTATACAACTCATTCTATCGTTTTTTGACATTCCATCCTGAAATCCTGCAGATCAACATTAAATCGGAAATTAAAATATTTCCATTTATGTATCGCAGTTAAATATGTTAAATATGTAATAAAGTTTGGCAATGAAAGAAATATTTGTTTAAGCTTACGTGTATTCGTCTGGCTCCATTAGGGTTGCCGCTGGATTTTGCGGGTACCCACTGAGCAGCGGGTAGTGACCATAATTATGAAATTATTATTATAATTTATAATAATATAATTAGATTGAGGACGCAGTATTATTTGCATTTATATAATAAAAAATCTAGGGCAAAATTATGCTATATATGTCGTTAAAACAAATTGACAACCTTCCGTACTATTTTAGCTACCACACTCCAGCTCTTGGCGTAATGCTACCTGTTTGCACGAACAATTGCAGTTACCCTGGTTACCTACGTGCCCACGTAAATTGTCATTATTAACCAATATGTAACAAATTATTACTAATAATCCTCTGTCGAAGAAGTCCTGGCAAATATTAAACACCAGTTTCTAACATCAATCAGAAATCATATCCATACTTTTATTTATTAGCTCGCCCTGCGAAGCAAGGGAGCTATTGAATTTCTCTTGTCCGTCCGTCTGTCTGTCCGTCTGTGTGTTAACGAGTTTTTTGCATCAATTAATGCTAATTAAAGCGCATTATTGACATTCATAACCGACTTATTAGCACCACTGATATCGAACAATCCGTGACTCAAAATGGTGCCAAACAATCGAGGGAGTCTAGACAAAACGCACCAAAAGTGCAGAACAATCGAAACAAAAATAATTATAATTTTTATCTCATGTGTTCCAAGATTTGATGTCAAAATTATGGATTAATTTTTCTCGCTTATTTTCCACCATTGGTGCAAAATTATATCAAAATTATGCACCTTTCTTATATTATGCACTATTGGTAGGAAGAGGTCGTAAAGTGCTAGACACAACACCAACTGGGTTTCGGCTCTCTATAAGCCCAAGACAGGTCGCTACTCCTGTTCATCAGGTAACCAGCAGGTTACGACCCAGTGCGATTTCTATTTATGAACCCATGACATCTTACATCGCATCTGGGCCCTGGTAATGTATATTTCAACATTACCAGAGCATTTTGATGAGCCAAGGATATGATAGGGATGCGTATGAACCAAGGGTATGATAGGGATGCGTATGAACCAAGGGTATGATAGGGATGCGTATGAACCAAGGGTATGATAGGGATACATAGGAACCAAGGGTATGATAGGGATGCATATGAGCCAGCCGCCATTAGATGCCACTACCTGTCCCAGTCAGTATCTCATTTGGGAAATAATTTCCTTGTACTTAACTCCGACCAGGAGTGCACTCAAATGAGACACTATTAATGACTTGGGACACCCTTGAAACACTGTTGGCCCAGTCTGATGAAAGGAATACGTTCTCCTTTTTGTACAACTCTGTACGGACTAGATAATTGGCGGCATGGAAAACTTTATATGGTCGAATTGTTTGAAACATGTATGGATGTTTATAAGATATGCGGCGCTTCAATTGAACTTGAACGGTACTTGTCTCATCAAATCGGCGGGGAATCACTTTAGCGACTATGTCCATGTCGTTCGGGACATTTACCACTCCTCCCCGTATCCCATATTGACGGTCGCTTCCTAAGGATCGAATCTGCGCAAACGGTAATCGTAGTGCGACAAGGCGTTCCTCCAGAGTCGTCATGTTCTGTAGTTGATGTGGGATTGGGGGAAAATAAAGTCCGTTTGACATACACAATCGGGGCACGTCGCTGTTCTTCAGAGAGTCGTGACATGTACCACATAAGAAGTACTTCCCATCGACCTTCATGTGGGCGTACGATTTCTTGGGATGAAGTTTGCGCACGGTTTCTGTTGTTGTTGGGTGCATAGAACTCCGATACCAAAGCCCTCCACACGAACTACATATCCACCGCGGCTGATCAAGTATTTCAGACTGGAAGGACTTGCATAAATTCGCATAATCTATTTGGGCCTTATGACGTGAAACTGCTTTGTTGATCGTGTTCTGTTGTTGTTCGGTATACTTGTAAGTTTCGTTTTCTCGGCGGGTAGAGTGCTCGATCCTATTCCGCTCATTTTGGACCTCACGATAAGATTCATTTTCTCGACGGGTAGAGTGCTCGATCTTATTCCGCTCATTTTCGACCTCGCGATAAGATTCATTTTCTCGACGGGTAGAGTGCTCGATCCTATCTCGCTGTTTTTCGACCTCGCGATAAGATCCATCTTCTCGGCGGGTAGAGTGCTCGATCCTATTCCGCTCATTTTCGACCTCGCGATAAGATTCATCTTCTCGGCGGGTAGAGTGCTCGATCCTATCTCGCTGTTTTTCGACCTCGCGATAAGATCCATCTTCTCGGCGGGTAGAGTGCTCTATCCTATCCCGCTCTTTTTCGACCTCGCGATAAGATTCATCTTCTCGGCGGGTAGAGTGCTCGATCCTATCCCGCTCTTTTTCGACCTCACGATAAGACTGATCTTCTCGACGGGTAGAGTGTTCGATCCTATTCCGCTCATTTTCCTCCTCACGGTACACGTCAATCTGTCTACGCTCTGCGTGTGCTGCTGTGTCCCTTTCTTGCTCTTCATGTCGAATGTTATCGTCCATCCTTCGTAATTTCATAGCGACAGCGTTTTTGGCTGCTTCTGATTGACGAAACTCATCGTGTTCCCTTTTTCTCCGCACCCTTTCTTTCATACTCAGTTTTTTTCGAGGCATTATGATATCAGGATGATTATGATTTGATGCAGGATGTGTACACTAAAATTTCACATACCTTATCGTCCAGAATGCGCGCACTATAATTCCACGTACCTCTAGATAATCCACGCAGTGATTTGTCCTTCCCAACTCGATAAATCGTTCGCCGGCTCGATGACTTGGTCCCTCCTCTTGATAGCTTGTTCCCCACTCTTGATAACTCTCTCCCTCTTGATAATTTGCTCCTCCTGTCAACAACTTGCTCCTCCTCTTGACAATTTATCCCCGCTCTCGATAACTTACTCCTCCTCTCGACAACTTGCTCCTCCTCTTGACAATTTATCCCCCCTCTTGATAACTTTTTCCGCTTTTGATAATTTGCTCCTCGTCTTGATAACTTCGTATTATCCACAAATTGAGAGCAGGATGTTTTGATAATCAGGATTGGCTGATCAGGATTGGATGTTTTGATAATCAGGATTTTGATAATCAGGATAAATCCACGATTTATGTTTCTCTCCTATTTTTATGTTTGTTTGAAGGTTTCCACTAAAGGAATCCATGGTTTCAAAAATTAAAATTTAATGACGCAGTTTCTATGCATAACACCTTTGTATGCATCCCGTAAGAAAGAAAGAAAGAAAGTGAAGTTCAAACTTAATTAAGTAAGATTATGCATAAATCTCATCCACTTATTCTTCTAAGCCTCACAGGGCGAGCTACTTCTAACGTTACAACGGTTTATTTAAATATGTGTCACACCGCATTATAACATTTGACCTCAATATTATAAACACAGATATTCACGATATCTAGCTTTGATTAAAATTATTCCCATACGTCACCTAAACTTTAGCAAATATTTATCTCAGCAGGAACTTGAACGCTTTCTTCCTAGAGCTCGTGTCTGACAGAGACTGGATCAATTTTCTGGCAATAACTGCAATCACGCCACTAACGACTGATAACGCTCCGAGTAAACTGCTTATAAAACCATTTCCATGAACTCTTACCCCACAAGTCGAACTATGATTTATGCATAATCGATTACGACATGATAATAATTACGATTCGTAATCATCGTAAACATCTTGACATGATATTACTCCTTGTATAAATGGTAAATGAATGAACTCTTACCCCACAATCCCAGCTTCTTCGATTTGCAGGGCGAGAACCAAAAACAGATTTCCAACCGCCCAAAGTAATCCGATCGCTGCCAGGACGCCCATATCCTCCCAAGTAGTATCGTTCGTCCTGAATTCGTCCAAAGTGCCAAAAATCAACGCCAAGATTAAACTTTGGAGGGACGCGTACAAGTAGAGAGACACATTTTGAATGGAGTGATGCACTTTTAGGAGCCATCGGAACACCGCGATGACCACGGCGATCATCGCCATGGCTAAAACGGCGACGAAAACAGGCATCTAAATTAGGGTAGAAAGATTATGCAAATTTTGTGCAAATTTTTCATACATTCTATATACGTACCAATGTGTCATGGTCAAAGTCATCTTTCCCCGTAAGAATTGGTGGCCTTGTCATGACTCCGATCCCAATCAGGGCCATTATTGCGGTCAGTGTGGGTACAACGCCACACTGCTCCTCCTACCACACCCACGAAATGGACGAAATGCACCGAGATCACAGATGCGGCAACAATGGTACGCATATCTCCGACAGAAATGTATTGCAAAGACCAGATTGGGACGAAGGGGATTACACTGCTCAGAAATGTGCGAACTTAGATATTTAAAATTTATCAAAATAAATTAGCAAATATTTTGAAATTTTAATCCCAAATAATTATCCGACAGAATAGTATCGACAACTCATAGTCATCATAAGGCTAGAATATTTTGTGTGTCGTACTATTGTGTCAAATTATTTTTCAAATGAATATTCGCAAAAAGATTGGCAACAAATTGTTTGCATGGAAAAATAATTTGCAAGAAAATCCTCACGTACAAGAAGAATATCCCAGTCTTATTCTCTCTCGCCGGAAGTAACCCCACTTTTAGCTTCTGGGGATCACTTATCAACCCATGGATCAGAAACGGTATGAAAAACCGTGTCGCGACGGGAAAAGTGACCACCCTACAGTGGGCCAGAGACCTGAAAATCTGGCCATTAAGGCAGTACGACTATTTGGCTTGAGAAGTATGGCAACGTACCCTTTAGAAACTACTTGACCTAGGGGTATAATATAAAGTAGCACGTTAAAGCCAATCAGACAAACAAAGATGGCAAAATTTTTATAATACATGGCGAACATAGGATTTGACATCTTTTCACATTGCCGTCGATTGCCGTGCTCTAATAACTAACCACTGGTGTCATTAATTAGATAATAATGGTGGGTTGATACGCTGCTGCGACCAGCTGCGACCATCAAGCAGTATTCCCACAGCACACACTCAAAGTCCAACACAGCACCAAACACAAGCACCAAACACACATAAAGAAGTACCTTCACTTAGTTAGTTCTAGTTCACAATAAATATTAAATTTTACTTAAAATCTCAATCCACCCCAACCATAGATTTTATTTCGTTTAGTTTTACCCCAGCCTCACCTATGCTAGAGTGACAATTATTAAGAGAACCGGTGACTTCGTAAGGTGTAAACTCAACTCATTTTTCACCTTTTTTTGGGTAACTGGAATTTCAACAATATTAGATGGATTTTCTTCATTGTTGATGAAAAATGACTTGAATGAGTTGAATTTTCAGATTCGTTGCGAATTTTCATTTTTTTCGAGATTTAAAAATATTTACGCTCTAACGACAAAGGTCGTAATGATAAGTCTCATATGGCCCAAAAAAAGGGGTATAGTTGGAAAGGCCGAGAGGAATCAGAATATATATACTTTGTGGGGTTTGAGACCACACCCTGAGTAGTTAGAGTCTGATGAATATTAATGAGTTTTGGTTTTGCGGATATGCAGACGTAAACACAGCAGTAGATTAAGAGCTAACATCGCAGTAGACCGACGAAAACTCAATGATATTCATCGATCTCTAACCAGTCAGTGGGTGGTACCAGACCCAAAAGGTATATATATATTATAAATTATCCCGCGTCAACCTTTCCAACGATACCCCATTTATGGGGCCACGTGATACTTGACCTCGTGACGGTTGTCTGTGGCACATAACGTTTTGAACTTGGAAAAAAATTCTGCTCGAATCTTCAAACTCAACTGATGCATATGTCGATGGCGTCTCATATGTCGCTCGCCGGCTTACCTTCACTGTATTTCGTTTATAGACTCTATTGCATTAAAATTCTCATTTCACCCTAACCATCGATTTTATTTTTGTTATGTTTTATCCCAGCCACGCCCATGACAGAGCGATAACACTTGCCTAATTTCACTGCATTTCACAGATTCAATTCCGCTATAAATCTCATTTTGCCCCGACCGCACCCACTAAGGGCAAATGGGTGTGGTCGTGATCTCGATATTACTTTACTCCACAATGTGGTGAAAACAGAATCGAAAAATTATAGCAAACGTTGTATTAATTTAGGTGTTTCCGATATAACCACACCCCCGGGCTTTAGGGGGTGTGGCAATCAGGTCAAATAATTTGTTTCGGATTCAGGCCACCATACAGGTAGTCCGTAGATTATACGAACAAGACAATTTCAGGGGTAGCATGCGAACGCATGATTCAATTTGCGCCAAATTTGGCACACATAATTTCGAAGTTCACAGCAACACATGCGCCAAGTTTCAAATTTCCATCTCTAAAAATGGGGCCCAAAATTGACCCCAAAGTGGAAGAGTCCGTGAAAGTGCTTTCCGAAGCTAATTTGACACTTCGAGGTATCCAAACGGTCATAGAAAACTCATTTGTGTGTCATGTATGTATCTATTGGTGGGGTGATGATCATGCCATTGTTCGACAGGACCAATCAGCTGCGTAAGCACTGATAGCTTATTGCAGTCTCCCCATACACGGCACGTGCCTTGATGTGCTGAATCCCGAACCTCCCATAAGACAGATAAATCCCCCCATGACTTAAAAATCCTCCGGTCCTGACTATGAATTGAGTCAGGACCAGAAAGAGATTTGGATATTCTCCCCCGAATTCTGGTGGCATATTGCTACGCCTCCCAGTTGTTAATACTTTAACTAGTGTTAAGGAACTCAAAAAGCCCCTTACTATGCATAGTACTTTGCCCCCGATTTGGTGATATATTTTCAAGACGACGACGTTTTAATGGAATAACTTGCAATTGCTCCATAAGTACCATGCGCTGTAGCTGAGAGTTTGATGCAAGTAGATTTTCTTCCGTTTCGAACCTTGTAAGAATATCATCTCCAGTTTTCCGTTTGTGGGTGTTACGAGCAATTGCTGTTAGGTTGCTTAACCATGTTGTTGCAAGTTGAGCAGGAAATATGTCCATTTCCGGGTGAAAATAAGGGGTTCATATTTTTAATGAGGTTTTGAAACATGTGAATCTCCTTTTTGTCACATCGTCTTAAGTTGCTACTTCTAATTTTGAATCAGCAGAGGAAACAATAGGCCTCATATTTCAGACCTGTTAAAATTTCACAAAAACACGATTTTTACGTAAATTTACAAAATTCTACAATTTAGGCCAAAAAAGTTGCAAACTCATTGTTTATAAAATATTGCTAAAAACAGTTGTTTTATTTTACGCATCGTATTTTCTTTTAAGTGATTTATTTTAGTAATTTCAAATTTTGTTGAACGTAACAAAAAAATATGCAAACCCTTTAATTCGGATGGAGGACAATTGTCATTTTCTTGGAAATGGTTTAATTCGGGAGGAGGACAAAAGTCGTCCTGAAAAACTATGGTCATCGTGCGGGAGGAAGACAATTGTCGTTTGTGGAAGGTCATTGATTTTCACCATTTCCTCTCAAAAATGAAAATTTGTTGTCATTTTGCGGGACTTCTCTTATGCCAACCAAATGTCAAATTTGAACATTTTCTTGCCCAAAATTTGGATATTTCTCCATCTAATGCAATGTTAAATTCTGGATTTTTCAGTTTTTTCGAGTTTTATTAAAACCACCTACATGATTCCTCCTCCCGCACCATGACCACAACATACTTACAACCTGCCCGAGTTAATTCAATTTCTTGCAATTAATCATCCTCCTTAAAGGGTTAAAAATACACGGGTTGGTTCTAGACTTGTAGACCCTATTTTTATTGCAGTTTGCCACGTTGCAGGTAATTCTAAGACTTTTATTTTTGCACCAAAAACCTGACAATTTTGAAAAATTTTCCGACTTTTTTGTCGTTGTTGTGAGCGATGCGAGCCGTTTCGTTGTATTGTGACGGAGTGAATGTAATCCATACCTTTGTTTCCAGATAATTATAACTTACCTGTTTAATTATGCAAGTTATGCACGAGAAAAAGGATTATTTTTCGTTTGTGGCGAGCGAAGCTAGCAGCTAGGTTAGGTTATATTAAGAAGAAGCATAATAATAAAATTATACAAGTTTTAGATAAAACTAATTTATTGATGTATTTCAACAAACTTAAAAACAAGGTTTTTTGGTGCAAAAATAAAAGTGTTAGAAGTCTCTAAAACGTTCAAAAATGCAGTAAAAATGAGGTCCGAAAGGCTAAAACTTAACCAAATACACTCACCATTATTAGCTCACCCTGCGTAGCAGAAGAGCTATTGAATTCCTCCTGTCCGTCTGTCTGTCTGTCTGTCCGTCTGTGTGTTAACGACTATTTTGCATCAATTGATGCTAATTTAAGCGAGTTATTGGCATTCGCGGCCGACTTATTAGCTTCACTGACATCGAAAAATCCGTGACTTAAAATGGTGCCAAATAATTCAGGAAATAGATGCAAAGCGCACCGAAAGTGCAGAAAAACCGGAGGAAACAACTATAATTTTGACCTCATGTTTTCCAAGATTTGATGTCAAAATTATGGATTCATTTTGCTCGCTTATTTCATACCATTGGTGCGAAATTATATCAAAATTACCTGTACTATTTGTCCGATTATTCTGCATCATTAATGGATAATTATACCAAAATTGGGTATCTATTTTATCCGATTTTTCTGTATCATTGGTACCAAATTATACCAAATCATTATTACAGGGTGAGCTACTTCTAACGTTACTACGGTTTATTAGCTCGCCCTGCGTAGCAGAGCAGCTATTGAATTCCTCCTGTCCGTCTGTCTGTCTGTCTGTCTGTCTGTCTGTCCGTCTGTCTGTCCGTCTGTCTGTCTGTCTGTCTGTTAACGAGTTTTTTGCATCAATTGATGCTAATTAATTTGCCCCATCTGCAAATTTTAGGAAATGAGTAGCACCATTGGTCTCGAACAGGCGGTAACACAAAGTGGTGCCAAACAATTGAGAAAATAGATGCAAAACACACCAAATGTGCATAAGAACCTAAAGAAATAACTAGAACTTTTACTTCGAATTTGTCAGGATTTTATGTCAAAATTCTGGATTGATTTTTCTCGTTTATTTTCCACCGTTGGTGAAAAATTATGTCACAATTATGTATATCTTTGGTCCGCCTATTCTGCATCATTAATGCAAAATTATGCCAAAATTAGTAGCACCATTGGTGTCGAACAGGCGGTAACACAAAGTGGTGCGAAATAATTGGGAGAATTGATACACTACGCACCAAAAGTGCAGAGTATCCGGATGCAATTTGTCTCGCCTTTTCAGCCAGGAAAAGTCGAAATTATGTCAATTTTATGGATCTATTTTCCCTGTTTATTTTCCACTATTGATGCAAAATTATATCAAAAACATTACATGCACTTATTTTCAAATCATTGCAAGGTTACCCTGCGTAGCATGGGAGCTATTGAATTCCTCATGTCCGTCCGTCCGTCTGTCTGTCTGTTAACGACTCTTTTGCATCAATTGATGATAATTAAAGCGAGTTATTGGCATTTGTGACCAACTAATTAGCATCACTGGTATCGAACAATCCGTGAGTCAAAATGGTGCGAAACAATTGCGAAAATAGATGCGAAACGCACCAAACGTGCAGAAGAACCGAAAGAAATAACAATAATTTTTACTACGAATTTGCCAAGATTTCATGTAAAAATTACGGTTTCTTTTTCCTCGTTTATTTTCCTTCAGTGGTGCAAAATTATGTCACAATTATGTATATATTGTGTCCGCTTATTCTGCACCATTAATGCAAAATTATACCAAAATTGTGTATCTATTTTGTCCCCTTATTCCGCATCATTGGTGCAAAATTATATCACAATTATGTACACCTTTAGTCGGCTTATTTAGCAAGATTAATGCAGAATTATGCCATAATTGTGTATCTATTTTATTCGTCTATTCTGCACCATTGATGGAAAATTATGTCAAAATAATTCACAGGGTGAGCTACTTCTAGCGTTACTACGGTTTATTATTATTACTTTGAATCAAATCCACAACTGCGTATTCAACACGGTCATCCCGAACAAGCCGCACCAGAGTTTCGCTCCATTGTCGTCCTCCTTATTTAATTATCTGCTTAAAAATCTACTCCCTTCAAACTAAACAATTCTCACCGCTGCATGTTAAAAAATACAATTAAAATGCGGCAAAAAATAAATTTACAAAATGAACACAACTAGTTTCTTGGAAAATCAATCCAATTTCAAAAATTGTGAAATTTCAACTAATCCGACCAAACGAGTCTTAAAAAACCTCACTTATATGCTTTGTTTGTAGAAAATTTTTGACTTCCAGCTTATCTATGAAAATCGTAATTTCTCAGAAGACAAAAAATGATTTCTTTCCACTTTCTCGAAAAAGAATAAACATTTGCAAATGCAGATGCGACGGATTTCTGGCCGTTCTCGTGTCTCCTCTTTGTCTCCGCATGTCTCTCTTATGAAACCGCAGCAGTGATAGATCATTCTCAACTTTGCATGGTTTTCATGGCAATAAAATAATGCTGAACGAAGTATAACTACATAAATATAATTAGTTATTGAAGTCTTAATAAGTCATGCGTTATTAATGCAATAATATCATAAGCTATGCTGGGTAATCAGTATACTGAAAAATTAAATAATTGTGATAAATTATCTATAAATACCAAAACTAGTGAATGTCTAGTACTGAAGGAAATTTTAATTACAAATGAATTTGATATATTAGGATGAATAAAGTATGTGGTGTATACATTCGTAGGGTTGGTAAACAGTGCACTCTTACTTAGGGTATGTCCATAAATTACGTAATGCGAGAGGGGGGAGGGGGGAGGGTTTGGGCTCCAATGATATCGTGCCTAGGTTACACATGTTAAAGGGGGGGAGCGAGGGTCTAGAAAATCGCGATTTTTGTGTTACGCAATTTATGGATGGCCCCTTAGCAAACTGGTAGTAAACATTGCCGAAAAGCACAAGTATATGACTCCACCAAGATGGTAATGTTAAGTTATACCGTGTGGTCGTAATTCGTAATAAAGTGTTACCATACTGGTAACGCAAGTTTGGACACAATTTCACCCCCCCCCCCCCCCCGTAATGGATTATTATGAGAATATGAGAATAATGATGAGAACAATTGCACGAGTTGGAATATTTATTTGCCGATTTTATATTTATTGTTAGCTTTGTGGAACAAAAGCCTGGATTTTTATAACTTGATTTCACCATTTTAGGTAAGACTGGAAAAACAATTAAGATTAATGAGTTACCCTTGGGCTGTCAAGGTTGACGCCTGTATAGGGCGAGGAGACGTGGTGGATTGTCTACCAGATTGACCGGCTTGACCCTGCTGTCCGTCTTGACCTTGTTGTCCAGATTGACCAGCTTGACCTTGTTGTCCAGATTGACCAGCTTGACCTTGTTGTCCAGATTGACCAGCTCGACCTTGTTGTCCAGATTGACCAGCTTGACCTTGTTGTCCAGATTGACCAGCTTGACCTTGTTGTCCAGATTGACCAGCTTGACCTTGTTGTCCAGATTGACCAGCTTGACCCTGCTGCCCGTTTTGACCCCAATTTGGCCTTTTCGTTGTCGCTCTAGTTGGAGCCCTTTTAGTGGTCGCTCTCTGACCAGCAACGCTCGTAAACTCCTACCGATAAATAATTAGATCCCGACAGCGTATAAATTATTACTAGCTTAATTAATTTTGTACCAACCTGAGCACAAAGAGCCACAAAAAGTAGGATGAACGCAGTTCGGAGCATTTTCAAAAAAATTCCTAACTTTTTGGAAAAAAAACATGAAATATTAAATCGCCTTGATATGTCAAAGTAAATTGAAATCTACTGATCACCCACTGATTCACTTTTTATTGTACCTGAAGCAAAAAATAATTAACATGATAAAGTAAAGCGAGCTGGAATTATGAATAATATGCAATGACCATTTTAACCTAACAATGCCCACGGTTACATACATGTTAATCTTACAGATTTTATGAAAATTCACCAACAAAAACCTACTTGTATGTGGCATCTGTGTAACTTAACTTACACGAAATATGTAACAATACGCACGAAATTTTACTTGAAATGACATCATACGGAGGGTAATACGTAATTGAATTGAACATTCCAACATCTGTCGCGTAGCTTCTGTGCACTAAAATAAGATGAAATAAGCAATTTCTAAAGGTTAGAAAATTCTCGATTGACATTTTTCAACAAATTTATTCGAATTACATTAATAAATTAATACTGAATTTATTATTTCAGTTGTGTCAATTTCAGCTAAAGATTCATTATCTATTTGGTGCAAACTGCTTATTCAGACTCACAATGCGAAGGAACGAATTGCTACGCTCCGAACTTGATGGACTAATTTTAATTTGTTCACCATTAAAAATTAGCTTACCCGTATTTTTACGGTTCTGAGAATGCGAAAATTTAAGCGAGTGGCAGGAATTTTAAATCTTTTTTGCAGTCAGAATTTCGTGTTTAAAAATCACAGTAACTTTTTAAATTTTGGAGAGAATTAAAAAATCTAAAAATATGTATGTTAAGAATTACTTTCTCGAGATATTCGTCCTTCAGCTTTGGTAAATTTTAGGCTTTTCGAAAATTTTTAGAGTTTTCGCAGTTAAAAAGTTGTGTAGAAATTCGAATTAAAAAATATTTTTGAAAACAAAATTCTAAAATCCCGATGATATAATTCTGAATATGGCAAGTTTTTGGATTATTTAATTGGCGCCAAAATTTAAAAAGTTTTAAAATTAGTCCCATCAAGATCCGAGGGTAACACTTCATGCCTTCGCATTGTTAGATCATTATGAACTAAAATGAAAATCACGTCGAATAAATTATTTCGTGTGGCATATTAACTAGTTTTAATCAGTTTTGCTTAAACATTTGTATTGATCACTCCAGCATATAAATAATTAAAATTTATGTGACAAAACCGGGGCAAAAATGTACGTGCATAGTGGAAGAGTACGTAATGCAGCATAGTAACAAATTATTACTAGCTATTATTGCAGAGCTATTCTATAATTTTCGACATACTTACACATTCAACGTATTGACGTGCGCATGTACATAAGAACAAGTGTATGTACAAAACATTTAATGTGAACGCGAAAATATTTTTTAATAAGTACTTAGCGTAAATATCTTATGCAAATGCCTCAATAAATAGCTACATTATTCAGTAATAAAGATTTATGTATCGTCATTAAGCAGATTTTTAATATACGTAGGAACATACATACGTACAGTGAGAGCGTGATTTTTCGGGCTGCAACAATTTTGACGTAGGATACATTAAAACCCAGTTATCGGACCGAAATAATCGTTACGATTTCACTGCGAATCTTAACCGAAATGTCCCCAAGATATTTACTTATTCGTCGTGAATCTAAAATCGTAATGACTTCGCAACGATCTTGGGGACATTTCGATTAAGATCCGCAGTGAAATCGTAACGATTATTTCGGTCTGCTATCTGGAAAGTTACGTAATTTTTAGTACATCGTAATCGTACAAGAATTCGTAAACCACCCCCTGATGTTAAGGGCAGAACTGTGGGGACATTATTGGTAAAATAACATTTTAGGTGGGGAGGACCTAAGTAACATTGTAAGGATGGGAAAAACTGAATTTCTGTAGGGACATATTGTCCCCGAGGTCCCCAGGATTCCGCCGCCTATGCAGATGATGGTTTTATAAGTTGACTCATATTCTTGCTTTATTTGTGTTGAATTTTAAGACAAAAATTGGTAAAAAGTTTGTTTTCGTGTACGATGGCCTGACTGACGTAAAAGGAGTTGCTAGCATTCCTGGCAGTACAAAATTATCGGTAATAAATCGAGCCCATAAATGCATTAGCCCATTTAAAGATTTCCCATCATAAAAAAATGGAATGGTTTTATACGAAGAATATTGATAAAGAAATTTTGTGAAATAATAACAAACGGTTTTAATGAATCAAATTTGTTGAGATAATGAAAAATTACTTCCTTATGAGCATTTAAATATTTTATTGCATTTTTATCCACTTTCATGCACTTGAAAGGATTTTTGGTGGGTGTTTCTTTAACGCATTTCAACACTTTTATGCACTAATTTTATACAGGTGTCTTTTAACAGGGGAAACACCGAGGCCCGTGGTCGCCTTTACAAACGGCGAATAAATAAAATTCAATTCAACAGGAATAGGTCAAGATGATTAAATAATTCAATAGCGATTATTTTGATGAAAAAATAAAAGCGATGTGTTGGACAATGAGCCTCACTGTTCCCCAATACAACCAAAGGCGGTGGTGACAGAGCAGAATTTTAACCAGGACACATCAGATGATAAACCGAATCACCTGACCAGATAATAATTTTAATTATGAATTAAACTTGAAATATTTGACATTAATTACATCGTAACCCATACTTACAGTATCGACAGAAAGTCTTTCTACCCCCATACTCCATCCACGTAAAGCGTTATATTTCACGAGAAGCTTTATGGAATAAAATGCAATTTTGCACAATTACTTACCATGATGCAAGGTTTTCGAAACCATACTTTGGATAATGGGGTGGCAGAAGAAACGACATAGTGAATTGATATGCTAAATTTCAAACGACAAAAAGTCTTTCTACCCTCTTTAAACTTTGATATAACTTATTTTTAAATTTTGTCTGTTTTTTAACAGTAAAATTAGTATTTAGTGTATCCACCTTGAGCCTGTAGGAAGGTAAGGACACGTCTTGGCATCGACTCAACTAATGACTTGTCCAAATTCTCACATGAAAGCTTTATGGGGTCGTCCCGTGCTTTTAGGTTTGATGGTTTGTGATTAGCAATTTTGGGCTTCACAATTGATCATAAATGTTCTGCAACATTCTTGCCCGGTGACTTTAGAGGCCATTCCAACAATTTAATCTCATTTCGGGAAACAAACTCTTCAATAACATGACGTGTGCTTATAATTACCGTCCTTTTTGGAAAATATAATTATTTCCCAACCGTAATTTATTTTTTGATTTCGTCAAATCGCGATATAAAATGTCGCAATGTTAGTTGGAGTGCACGATACCGCTGATTATTTCAAAATTTTCGACCTGCTTCCAGGACATACAGTCCCCAACCCTTCGATTTCTTGCTTAATAGTTGGCATATAGTGCAGGGTCATACTCGCATCTCCTGGTCGTCTCCAGATTCGAGTGACCCCATCTGACCCTAACAAGTTCATTGGGGTCTCGTCCCTCCATAAACCTTTTTTCCCGTCTTGAATTGTCCAATTTTGAAGCTTTTTAGGCAATTTTATACGTCCAGCAATATGGGGCTTCGAGAGAAATAACCTTATCCGTGCAGCTAATGTGTTATACCCGGTTCCATTGATCCTATTCTTTGTAGTTCGCAATGAAACTTGTAGATTATGTTCTTCCCTCCAGTTGATTTTTGGAGCAGGAACCCTAGGACTTCGCTGGATTTAGAAGATATTGACGTGATCCACCCTTGCGGTCGTCATCCTTGGCTGTCCAGAAGCTGTCAAATTTGCCCATGTCCCAATTTTTGTATACTTTTGGACTAGTTTTACAACGGTACCCTTCTCCATAAGCAGCCTATCAGCAATCCGTGTGTGTCCAATCCCCTTATCACTAAATTTTACGGCCTTTTGCCTTAGGTCTGTGCTAAGGCGTTTTCCATCGATTAGGAGCTAAGATTTCTAACGTATCATTAAATTAGGATTACAAATGTATTTTTTCTCAAAAAATTATGAACTACCTTGTCGGCAGAGAACGACTCGACAAGAAATTTTAAGAAATTATACCAAATTTACAAAAAAGATCAGAAGGTAGAAAGACTTTTTGTCCCCGGAAAATTTGCATATCACGTCACCGTGTCTCAATTTGATTCATACTATTTACAATTCATTGTTTTTAGAAAGCCTTATGTCATGATAAGTATTCGTGCAAAACTTCATGTCACTAAATAAATCAAGATATATAACGCTTCATGCGTAAAAAGTATGAGGGTAGAAAGACTTTCTGTCGATACTGTATAATTTGACGAATTGCAATCTTATATAAATGATCGCTTCTACCACCGGACATATTTCGGCACGAAACTGTCAATTTCATCCACCTCCTCAGTTGAAAGTCTGGATTGAAATTAATTAAATTAGTACGGAGGGAAATAGTTTTTAATATAAGGTACATATGTCAAGTAGTTTATCTGGAACTTGACATCTCTCGAGCACGTGGCTTTGCCGCCCAGCCTGGGCGATAAATAAAAGACTTGTGTAAATTTACACGAGATTTTTCATTACAACCTGTTGGACACGACTGCTCAAGCTCAAACGGAATAACGTGAATTTGTTCTGCACGGAAGTTAGTTTAAAAGGATAAATAAAGTATGACTTAATCTTTTGGACGACAAATGCCAGGTCAGGATGGAGGCCGACCTGGCAACCGAGTTGACCGCAGAGGTCGACTCCCTCAAACATTTCTTGTCCCTGAGTGGTCAAAAAATTCGGGGAATTGTTCGTCTCTCTGGAACATTGGCGAACAGGAGTAATGTGGTAATTGGATTGAATAAACTTGAGAGCAAGTACTCAGTATGCAATGCCTTTACGCAATTTGGATACAGATGGTGAACCCAGCGATACTACACGACTGCTGAGTTTGGTTGATGCCATTTTGTCCCTGTCCTTCGCCGACGTCTGCATTTCAGGGTCGGAAACTACTTGTTTGGCCCCTTTCCCAACCTACGTCAACGAGGAAGACGACCCTCTTGGATTTGTGGAAGGAGAATTCCGCCCTTCACCAAGTCCACGCGACCAGGACGTTGAAGGCCCGGCGACCCGATTGAATTAATATTCGAAGTGAAGGAAGAATTGAAGAATGAAGAAGAAGACATTGGAATTTAGTTTGAGAGACTTCGAAGCTTAATATCATTTAGTACCTGTCATTCTTGGACATTTGGGTTCTCTCCAATTTCAAACTAAACTTCAATCTCGGCGGGGGCGCTCTCTTCCCAAATCGCAATTTGACTATGAAAAGTTGATTAAATTTTATTTTTACTGGGTTTGTTTCTGCTCTACAGATTCCTCAAAACTGTGTCCAGCCCGATCAGAAGTGGTCCTTTACCCTTTACCTAAGCCCTAGCATAGTTAGGCATAGTTAGGGATAGGACTAGGACTAAAAGGGAAATTTTAGGCAGATATTCCTTCAACTATTGAAGATAGGCATAAATTTGTCAACACAAAAGAGTGAAATACTAAAGAGTGGCTATCTTCGCACGAGATGTTCAGTTTGTATTAAAGGCTGGTAGGAGTCAGTGAGAATAAGGACCTTGTACTTAATTAAGTTAGTTCTGGTGCTAATTTAGTAATGTAAAAAAACGAATTAAATTGACTGAATTGCTAACGGGCACCTCCGGTGTTTAGGAGATCCGTCACGAGTCACCTTCTAATTTACATGGACAGTAGTTGTAATTAAACAAATTGATGGCTTGAACTTAAAGCATAATACGCACTTCATTTCTCATTAGGCGTTATCAATAAATTAGATCAGGCAAAAAACCCAATGTTCTTGATCACCCCTTAAACATGTGTCCAACACAAGCACGAGATTTTTCGAGCCATCAATAAGGGAACGTACATAAAATACGTAACTCTCGAGTGGGTTGAGGTCGACTATCTATACCATGTTAAAATTATTCTCTCGTACCGTGTACAGGGGGAGAAAGTGTTGAAATAATCGAAAATTCGCGTTACGTATGTTATGAACATTCCCGAAGGTTAGGTCGATTTGTGAGACTTCTACATAGACCGTTTTTCTATTAAGATTCAATTCAATTTACCTTTATTCAAGTGTTAGTCACATTCAGTCGGTCAGACTGGTTTGCAAGTTATAACACAATAAAAAAAATATAATCTGATTACACTAATTAAAATTGTTAAAACGAAGAAAAACACAAGATTGTTATGCATAGCAAAATCAGGGACAGTCCGAAGTGAGAGAAATAGAGAGACATAACCAGAGAACAGACTTGAAAAATTTACAACAACTCAACCAATGCCATAATAATTAAAAATGTTGATAAATACGTCATATCCCAAGTAACCACCGACCAGTCTGACGTCTTTAAGATATCTTAAGGATCTACGAATGTCCGCTTTTCGGATGTCTTTAGGACGTCTTTAAGATGTGTCGTATCTTATATAACATGGGGGACATCTTCAAGACATCCTAAAGACATCCGAAAAGCGGACATTCGTAGATCCTTAAGATATCTTAAAGACGTCAGACTGGTCGGTGGTTACTTGGGATTTAGAATTAAAATCATTAACAATACGGTACATATCATAACATTGACTTCGAAATGGACCTTCGACCTTCGAATAAAGATCTTCACTAGCTTGCGTAGCAATTTTGCAGATATAATTTCCGCTTTGACACGAACATTAACAGACTTGCTACAAATGTTTTCTAATATAGGAACACAACAAGGACAGGACCAATTTTTTGTATACAAAACATTGAAATAAGAAGAATCGGGCATAGTAAGGCAACAACGGTTCCTATGAAAAAAATTAAAACAGTAACAACATTGTAAATATCCTGCATTCCAATCGCGGTTTAAAAAGTCTCCCTTCCAACCGTGTACGTAATTCCATTTTGTACAGCTTGAGACGAGAAGTCACGAATGACGTCTCCACATAAATAACAATCAGGTCCGAACGAGCAATCGTAGTCCGAACTAGCAATCGTAGTCCCAATCCGTGTAGTCCAGGTTAAAGTACAGTTTTCGCCATTCATCCATTTCCCCATCCAAAACGATAATTCTGGTAGAGGTGTGGGCCAATGGGACGATGTCCTCAACCGTTCGGTCAGCAATAGGGGTCATTAAACCCGAGGTCGGCAACTTATCGTAGTTCAGGCTCAGACAAAAACACACAAAATTTCCAAGAATGGAGATGAAATCAATACAAAACAGCCAATTGAAAGGGTATCAAAAAGAACTTGCCGAATCCGGCACTTTACAGCGCCACGCAGGAGGAGTCCCTTCAGAGCGCGTACTAAAAGATCAGACTCCCCCTCTAATTCCTCAGGTTAGGCAGCAACTGCAGTGAATCCTCTTAAATTGTAGTGGCAGTCCTGTGAGGAAAGTCCATTCAAGTAGGAAAGTCCATTCAAGTGCAGACCAGGTGAGGTAGGAAGAGAAATTTCCTCTCAAAAAAACGAATGATTTTAAAACTCGTAAAGAATAACAAACGCAAACACCCCACTATGGAAACTTATACTATCGTAAAGAGGGGAGATTAAAGAGTGTTTTGATATAAGCACAATTTATAGATCGCAGCTTAATTTTTTAATTTTAGCTTTAAAAATATTTTAAACGGGAGCAGCAGAGAACTCGTGCTGCTCACTCTTCTGGACTTTTTTCCTTATTAACTCACCCTGCGTAGCACGGGAGCTATTGAATTCCTCTTGTCTGTCCGTCCGTCTGTCTGTCTGTTCACGAGGTTTTTGCATCAATTGATGCTAATTAATTTGCCCCATGTGCAAATTTTACCAAATTAATAGCACCATTGGTCTCGAACAGTCGGTAACACAAAATGGTGCCAAACAATTGAGAACATAGATGCAAAACACACCAAACGTGCATAAGAACCGAAAAAAATAACTAGAATTTTTACTTCGAATTTGTCACGATTTTATGTCAAAATTATGGATGCATTTTCCTCGTTTATTTTCCACCATTGATGAAAAATTATATCACAATTATGCGCATCTTTTGTCCGCGTAGGACTCGGCCAAGTGGCCGAGTCCTACTTGGGTGTCAATGTGACCCACGCTGTCGTAACGGTTCCCGCCTATTTCAACAATGCCCAACGACAAGCAACCCGAGATGCCGCTGAAATTGCGGGACTACACGTAATGAAAATAATAAATGAACCCACATCCGCCGCCATGGCGTACTGGGACCGAACAAAATTCGACCAAAATCAACGTGTCCTTGTCTACGACCTCGGTGGTGGAACTTTAGACGTGACTATACTCGATATCGACAAAGAAGGCTTCATGGTGGCGGCAACAAATGGGAATGCGCACCTCGGTGGAGAAGATTTCGAAAGGAATGTCGTCTCCTACTTCGTTTCAAGACTGAAGAAAAAGATAAATGTCGATATCTCCCAAAATGACGGGTGAGTTGATAAAATTGTCATAAATTATGGATATCTAAACTTTCCTAATATCTGGCAGAGCCCTGCAAAAACTTCGAAGAGAGGTCGAGCGTGTAAAACGAGTTCTATCGAAAATAACCCTTGCAACCGTCGAAGTTGAGAATCTTCTGAATGGCCAAGATTTCTCGGAAACATTGACACGAGCCAAATTTGAAGATTTAAATTACGACTTGTTCAAAGAAACTCTACTCTCGATTGACCGTGTCCTCGAAGATAAAGGGCTGAGCAGTGGAGACATCGACAAACTCATTCTGGTCGGTGGATCCACCAGAATTCCCAAAATTCGACAAATGGTCCAAGACTATGTTAGGCTAGAAGCTGTCTCTGCCACAGCGGTGAATCCCGATGAAGCCGTTGCAATCGGTGCGGCTGTTCAGGTGCGAATTCTGTGTGGGAAGTTGGTGTGATTTTTTAGAACCTTTAAATATCGCAGGCCGGAATTTTGGCGGGTCATCTCGACATCGTGGACGCGGACGTGTTGCCATTCACCCTCGGTCTGGGGATAAAGGATGACCAAATGTCGGTACTTTTGGAGAGAAATACGCCTATTCCAGCCTCAAAGACTAAGGGGTTTACGACCGTGAAGGATAATCAAGAGGTGGTTGAATTCCCCGTGTACGAGGGAGAACGCCCGTTCGCCTCGGACAATAATTTCCTCGGGAGCTTTGAACTTGGCGGGATTCTCCCAGCCCCGAAGGGCGTTCCCGACATCCAAGTCACGTTTTCTGTAAATTCTGACGGGATTTTGGTTGTTCGCGCAAAGGACGTGGCAACCGGGAATGTGAATGCTATCACGATTAAGAACGATCATGGTGGCATGAGTCCGGGAGAGATTAAGCGGAAAATCCGGGTGGGTGAACTGCAAATATTTTTGCCGCTGAGCTTGCACGTATTAAACTAATTTGAATAGGAGGCGAAAGACTTTGCCCGGGAAGACGAAAGGGTGAGGGAAGCTTTTGCCGCGAAGGATGACTTGGAGAGGGTTCTGGTTCGGGGGAAAAATATAATTGAAGATGGAAAACTGTCAGAACGGGAGGAATCTGCTCTTACTAAAGTATCGGCATACCGTCGCTGTTCGTGCATAATGAGCTAAGTGAAAAAATGGCCGGCTTCAGAAAGTGCCAAGTCGTTTTTCTCACCTTTTAAGGAGAGGCGGAAAAGAAATTAATGCTTCATCTTATTGCATCTGGACATTAATTTTATATTGATAATATTTTGGCGATCAATTAAGTAATTATCGGCGGGAAAAAACCATTTTGTACGTCGTGAACAGACATATAATTTTAATATAAAATCTCAATGCTCCCCAGAAATGACTTGGTACGTTATGAAATCTCCCCCTTTTTCACCTGGTACATTATGCACGAATAGCTAATAAATTCATAACAAATTATTTATTTAAACTAGGGAATCTGGTTGATTGGATGGTGATAATTATGTAGATAACTGCTGAGATTGAGCAGTGGTTCGCCGGTCAGGATACCCTTCAAGAGACCCACGCTTATCAAGAACAACTCGGAAAATTGGAAAAGATTCTTCATCCGTTGGTTAAAGAATTATATTCCGGCGAGGGTGAACAATCGGATGGAAATAGAACCCGGACAGAACTCTGATAATACATTTATTATTGCAAATTTCCATTTTGTTTATGTACATTATTGTATTTCAAAGTGTACAAAATGATATTTACATTGTCCCGAGAGATGGTAGTTGACAAATTTTTATGGTTAATCATCATCATTGTCACTAATTTCTAATATTACTTTGCCATACAATTTATATCATTGTCAGAAATTAATCAACGAATCGGTAAAAATATATTCCAATCGCAATTGGACACAAATTTTGTCGTTTTACATCGGAAGGTCTCAGATTTATCACTCCTGTTTAGTCTTGGATTGCGCCTTTTTGCAATATATTTGTAACAAGTCAGCTCATCAGAACGGACTCTGTGGGGCTCCAATGTCTGGCATTGACAGTCGATCTGTCCGGGTTTACTCGACCATTAGCACCCACCCCGTACCAACACAGAGCCAAGTGGGTATTAGCAAGTTTCCCGGCCAGGATTCGAACGCCAGGTTGCGTGGTGACACTCCTGCACCTAAGCTACTATGCTACAAGGCTTGCTTAAGCTATGTTTCGTGTTACTTAAACTGTCATACCTTGATAAGTGATATCTACAAACACAGAAATGGTAAATTCTGTGTCGAATTGCATTCCTGAAATTCAACGACAACTTGTGAGAATATGTACCTGGTTGGGAATAAGCTTATGCTTAGCGTAAGTTGATTCAATCAAGGTTATGTAATCCACTATTATCAGTAACATTTAATTCGTGACAATTAATACAGTCCAGTAGTGAGTAGGGGAGATTTTAAGGCTTTTGCTTCAAAAGTTTGGTTAAAATGTGTTCATTATTTCTCTTCATTTTGAACACCATTGAATAATTGGCTTATTGAATTTATTCGAAGGGTCTTTATTGTTATTGTAAATTATTATTATTATTAAAATGACCACCAACTAGATACCAACTATTACAAATTATTTAGTTTAGAACCAAGAAAACACTTTCGCAAATTTAAAGAATCACTATTTATCGGAAGCATTCCTGAGAAAATGAGCACGTCAAAAGGACTCATTATTATTGGTCCAATTTGGTCGACAACATTATGCAAATTTTTAAAATTCTAAGAAACAGCACCATATTCGAAATTCTTATAAATTTGTGAATATTTTCAATTTTCAAAATATGCCTGAAGGAGTTTACTGCATGTCAAGGGAAGGAAAACAACAAGTCTAAAATCTGACGCTTTGAAAAAAAAACCAAAAAAACTAAAAACCAAATCATAATAGAACAATATTCAAGTACATGATTTATTTTACTCCAGTTTGCTGAAGTTTTTTTAATTCGATGCTTTGGAACGATTGTTAATACACAGAGCGCGTCAACAACGCCATTTTAGAATCTTTTCCACAGTTTCTCATAGTCAATCTTTAAATATCCGTTAAAGTTTACGATTCTTCGAAATTTTAACTGCATTCTCACGCATAAAACCGGGGGATATTAAAGCACCAAAAAATTCACAACCCATCATTCCACAAAGTAATCGGTAATCGTGTAAAATGGCACCTAGCCCTCCATGCATGGTGCAATAAAGAAGTTAATCGCTTTCGGCGGACTTTTTTTCGACAAGTATGTCCCCACGGTAAAAATCATCTTCCGCGGCCACTGCTCCAATCCGGGTATGAGATGTTTTGCAATTGATCTTGCCCATTTTTTATTAAAACGAAGAGTATTTTAGTACTAGAGTCATACGTCCATAAATATAATGATAAGGAGTTAACTCGCCTGGGAGTGTGCCATGGCGGGTGGTAACTACTGAAAACCAGAGGGTTCAACTTCCACCATGGTCCTAGCAGTGCAGGACCACCCCCAGTTTTACTTTCCACAATCTTAGAGCCTCCATTTCCTTATTTTAAAGGACGCCGTCAGCACAAATCAGCAGGGGACGGTTTACATAGGGATGAGGAGCCCAGAGTTGAGAGACCACCACCAATCTTCACTGTTTCCGCTTCCGTGTGCAGGGTGAGTCAAAAAGAGGTTACCTTGTGAGTCAAAAGTACTTCACCTTGTCTCCCTGGTAACTATGTTTTTTCTATTTTCACTTTTATGAAAATTTTGCATTTTGATGAAGTGGAGATGGAGTTCAGAATGAAGTTATTACGCCAGTCTAATTCTAGTAACAGGGATGAAAAGGTAACGTACTTTTGACCACAGGGTAAAATCTTTTCGACTCACCCTGTATGTATGCCATACTTTAAAGATAACAAAGGCATGAGCGTAGTTGTACAAGGATACATAATTCTTAACGAGGACGATACTAGAAAATGATCGATGGACGAAAATAATTGGTGATTGATCCAAGAAGGGGTGGAAGGAGGGAGAAAAGTGGTCCATGGGAGCTGCACAGTTGACGCCGTTATGCCGAACTGTTGGTATTCGGCATACTATGATATTTGAAATTTTAGATTTTATATGGAGAGGTAGACCGTGTTCATAAATAATTAAAGGTTACCTTCGTAAGGAGGACAGTTATCGTTTTTCAAAAGTAACCGAGGTGCGCGAGGAGTTCAATTGTCGTAAAAAACATGTCATGAGATTGAAAAATTAATTTTAGAGAATTTATTTGCAATTTTTTAAAAATATTTAATGACAAAAAAGTGGATTTTTTCGTGACAAATTTTGGATTTGTATTACCTACACCAACCAATGTTGAAAATGTGATTTTTCAAGTTTTGAGTTTTTCCTTCCGTAAATCTATGTCCCCCTGCACCATGGTGAAGACCGCCTAGAAACGATTTCCGCGTTAATGCAAATTCCGATGTCCAAGTTACCGGAGCAAAGCGGCTAAAATATCCAACATACAGGGTGGACAGAAAATACGCGAAAAGGGAAATGTATTTTAAGGCAAAATCTTAATAATTTCCATAGCAAAATAAAACTTTTTGTTACTTTTGTAGCATTTTATATGGAAAACGGATTATTTTGCTCAAAGTTTTGCGTTACTAATGGAAATTACTAAAATTTTGCCTTAAAAAAATTCCCCTTGTCCGGCCTTTTCTGTCCACCCTGTATGTACAAAAAAATATTGAGTACACTATTAAGCTTAAATATTTAATTATTCTATTTTATGCATTTCCGGTAAGTTTTTATCGTTACAGTGCTCATTTGACAAGGTATCGACACACCACCATTAAGGTTTTATGGCTTTAAGCATTAATTTTATACTTTGGTAAAACAACTTAACCTTCTCGTAACCCAAGCAACATGGTGAGCGTGTAGGTAATAACGGCCTCAAAATACCTCACTTTCGTTTCTTGATTAAAATAAAACATTCGAAAATCAGCCAGTCCCACGTTCAATCTTAAACTTCGTGCCGATCTAATTTTTCTTCGCAGTAGTTTCGCATCCTGCCCCAAATTTAATCTTGTCAAGCCCCAGTTTCGCAACATTTCGATCGAATTCTCATGCACGGCCTGCGCCAATGGAATCGTGGCGTTTATAATGGCCCCAGTAATTACCGAGACTGAGGGAAAGAATATGTAGACCGGGAATGGCAACCTGGTCAACGCTATGGTGACAAAGTTTGCAATTACGAAAAGCACAAGTCCGACCGACATTACGGCAAATGTACCAAGTTCTTGGAAAGGTGCGAATAATTGTAAATTTAGCGTAACGAATTCCATAGTTCGCATAGAATCGAAAATTTGTCGAGTATTTGCAAATTTCTGGACCAGCGCAGAATTTAGTCTCGCTAGGATTGCCAGGGTCGATATGAAGATTAGAATCAGGAGGGCAAAGACGCGACTTATTTCGTAAATTGTGACGGTTAGAATGATCAAACGGAAAAAGTGGAGGATCAAAGTTTGGCCGAAACACAGGTTCAAGAAAATCCTTAGGTCTTGAATGACGTAGAAATAAGGGTCGAAGTTCATGAAGAGTTCGGATGGAATTTGTAGAAATGGGTAGACTGCAAACATTCTCACGATCAGGGTGAGTATGAGGGATAGGTTCCTGTCAGATGTTGGTTTCGATGATTTGTCACCTGTTTAACAAAAATAGGAATTAGTTTTATGTTTATCTGCTACGAACGGAGATACAGATGTCCCATGGTCCGCATTCGTGTTCAAGAGCAAGTTTTTATTGCAAGGTCATATTCTTACACTATGTATCTTCTCAGAAAAGTTTAAAACATTAAAACCAACCTGTTAACCTTTGGGCTTTATGTGGCTAAAAATGGATTCCACATTAATACGTCCATACGATATTACAACGAATTGATACCGATAACTTGTTACCCAGTGGTGACAATGAGGGTATTCAAGCTTACTTCGCAAGTACGCAACGCAACATAAAATTTTAAAATTTGTGCGAACTTTTTCGCTCACCAACAACTTGCCCTAAAGTTTGCAAACCGATTTTCGATCAAAAATTTTGCTAATTTTACCAACTTTAATTTTTCTGCGAACGTTGCCAAGTACGCATGAATACCCTCAATGTTTATATTTGTTTGTATCTTCAAATCAAAGGGTATATTTTTCCCATGGAAATTTGGACCCTGATACTGTGACATGCCCGGAAACAGCTTTCGGAAAACACAAGTACCACCAGGAATCGAACCTGATCCCTGCGTTTTACAGGTGACCACACAAGCCTTCAGACCAACTCTTACTAATTTTGGCCTCTACACCATTGGCTTACTTGACTCATCCTGTTCCAACCTCCTCAGCCCATTCCATCCCTTGACGGCATCCTCGCCATAAAAAGCGGTCATAACGTGCAACCATACCCCGTGAATGTTCAACATGCCGAAAAATAATATCATAAGAGAATGAATCAATCTAATTGTGTCCGTATTTCCGTTTCGACAAAATATGTTTTTAACCAGTAAATATCCAAACGATGATAAACCACAGATATCCACGGCTAAAAACATGTCAAGATCCCAGAGTAGTGTGCGCTTGTGACGTGTTTTGTATACCAAACAGTTTTTTCCGTTGTGCCATTGAATCCGGGGTTGGGAATAAAACCAACCAAATTTAGTAGAATGTTCGAGAAACGAGGATGAAACGGGGTTGGACGCCATGTCGTGGGTCTAAGGCATTCATAGGACTGTTTCGATATGAACTAGCGTCCGGTCAAAGTCAAATTAAAAACTTTGTTTTGCGTTGTAAACAGTTTGAATCGTAATTATTTTAGATATGTTCGCATGTAATTTAATAGCGTTTATCCACAAACAATACATGGAGA